GGACACAGTCTGTATATTTGGATTAACTAGGATTAACTCCATCCTTACAGACAACGACTGTGGGAACTGGCTTTAGTTTAGTTGACCCTGACTAAAGATCTCTAAGTTTACCCACGCTAAAGCCAAATTTGACGCCAACGATTGGAGATGCTCTAAGGGTTCTCAAAAAAAATCACCGATAAGGGTCTTTAACACCCTTACAGTCAAAATAAAAGGGTAAGTCTTTTTTTCCTAAAGACCTTTCCTTTAATCGCGCTACACTACGGAGGCAATGAACTAAACAATAAAAAAAACTTCTATCTTCTTTTTTTTTTTTGGTTTCTCCTTTCTAACTAGGAATCCAACTCGATAATGGTCAAAAAAAAGAAAAGAACTCTACAAAAAAAACACACTCTTGATACGATAACTCGATCCGAGATGATTCAATACAAAAACCCCTCGCACACAATCGATCCAGCTCCTTATAGTTCCAACAACTCCAGACCTAATCAAACCTATGTAAGTATGGTTTGCCTTTCTCATGATCATCTTCTCACCTATTCTAATTACTGATTGAATGATTCTTCCTTTGTTTGTTCGATAGAAGATGCTTTATTCGATTCCGGCGGTTCCAATCGGAAACAATCGTTTCCGAAACGGATCGAGGCTTTTCGCACTCAGTCCAGCCCACTCGTCACCATCCCCCACTCTCTTCACCTTCTTCATCACCCTGACTTCAAAATCAAAATTGATTTATCGATTTCGCCCGATTCAGGTTAGTCCTTTCCTTGTTTATCTTATTTAGATTGTAACTTCTTTCTAACCCTACTACACCCACAGCCCTCACTACCATCTTCCACCCTTGGATTCAAAAATCGAAATCGATTTTTGATTCTGACCAAGTTGGGTAAGACTTTTCCTTTTTTTTCTTTTTTCTTTCCTCTGTAGCTACTGCCCCTTCTGACTACCCTTCTTTTGGTTCAGTCTAGATTCTCTTTTGGTTATAAGCCCTTCAAAAACGAAATTGAAATGGGATCTCTTGCCTAGTTGTTGTTTAGTTTTGCCCAGCCTAGTATTGTTTCTCCTTTGCCTTGTCCCTTGGTTGCTGGGATTGTTGCAATGAAAAAAGCCCCCAAAAGCAAAATTTTGACTGCTTTGAGCTGAGCTTGAGAATGAGAGTGACCCCAGATAAAAAAAAAGAAAGTAAAAAAAACCTATATATAAAGGTCCCAAAAAAGACTCGAGTGATTTTTATTTCCACATCCTCCCCCAACAAATTAGCTGTCCTCAGCTAAAACATTTCCTTCATCATTTTTCTTTCTCTGTTCAACCTTTATATCACTCTATTTAAAAATCCATAACCTTTCACAACTTCAACTTTCAACCAACTTATCCCAAAAATTTTCTCTATACCCAAAACTCAACATCAATTTTTTTAAAATCCTGTTCTTCTCTCGATTTCACTACTCATCAACTAAAAAAAACTCTTGTTCCTCTTTTGTTTATTTCCTCTACACATCAACCTCACCACCAACCATGAGACCTCCACCTATCCACCCTCAAAGTTGTGTAGAATGCCTGAATGAAAGTCGGTCCTGTACTTGGATGGTCCATGAGTCACTCCCCATCACCAGTGACGGAAGGTGCGATCAATGTCACAGGGACAAACTGACTTGTGGTAAGTCCCCTCCTCTACTTGTATCCTCCTGCTTATTCAAAAAAATCCCCCAATACTGACATGTCACCCTTCTCACCCCATTTGTTCTTAGTGTGGCCTACTACTTATGAAAACTTAAGTGATGAAATCCAAGTTCATCCCCCTTCAACCACCTATGTCCAAGAACCTGAGTTCGAATCCGCCGCTGCCCGTTTGAAGAGAGTCAAAGCCTGGACCTGCGCTCCCTCTCGCCCCAAACCAGCTGACCTTGAATTCTGGAAAGCTGATCTCAGATTATGGAATAATGGTGGTAATGCTCCTCTTCCTCCTCAAGTCCCTGTCAAACCCAAGGCTTCCACCTCAGCACCTCAACCCAGACCACCACCTATTCTTACCCAACCACGAGCGTTCTACACCAACCCAAAATCCAAACCATCACCTGCATTCATGCCCAAAGTCCCAACTGCTGCTCCACCACCCAAACCTGCACCTACTCCTGCTCCACCCAAGGTTTCAACTCCTGAACCCCTTCATCACCAACTCCACCACAACCACCTTTACCTCCTGCTATCCCATCTCACTTCAACTCAAACTTCAACTTTGACGAACCCTCCGCCAGTACGTCAACCTCTGTTCCTCCTGAACCTCAACTCCGTCCTCCTTCTCGCAACCCCAACGGCCGCACACACATCGAAGATTTCAACGGAATTTTTGGAAAGGACCTTAGTGCCAAGATATGGTTTGCCCGGGCAATTGATGAAGCTGATAAACTTAATGAACTTGGTGGTACTCCTCATCATGTTGATCCCCGAGACCCGACCATCGCTTTGACTGAGGCCATGTTTTCTTTATTGACTACCCACTGGAACATATGGAAATCTTATAATCCTGATGAGTGTCTTGCTAGGAAAACCCTTACCAACCAACTGAAAAACCTTGTTGCTCAAGATATGTTGTATCGCCTGTCCGGTGCCAAGCACATTTGTCCTGCTCATTATGACTTTCCTCCTGTTGATAATCCTGATTTGACCCCTGCTCCTTCCTCTCATCCTCCTGACTTTTATGATTCTATAGCTAGCGGAAACCGAAACTCTAGAGACAAAGGCAAGAAAAGAGCTCATGACCAGACTGAATAATTGTTTTCCTTCTTCCTATATTTTCTCTTCAACCATTTGTTTTCCTGTTATCACTTTCTCTTTGCACATAGACTGTTTCCTCTTTTTGATTTGTTATCTTCATCCCCGCTCTTCTTGAAAAAGTAATAAAACCCAAAAAAATCTTTTGTATAAACTTCATGTGCCACCTCCCCCAACTTGAATAAAAAACCTCAACTTGAGTAACCTTGTGCCACCTCCCCCAACTTAAATCTGAGACCCAGTCCTTAAATCCGTTCCCTTTTACCCCATTTGTTGTTTTGTTATTATATTTTTATGTTTCTATTTTGTTCTATTTTTAACTTTATTTCTGTGATGTATTTTATTTTTATCCTTGTGTTTTATATTTAATTTTATTTTTCTATACCAATATCTTCCACCCCATAATTACTCCTTTGCTGTCCAGTACCAACTTAGATTGTCTTCCACATAATTTTCCGCTTTCCGACCTTAACACTTATGATCATATTCTTATTCCCAATTTCTCAAAAAAAAAAAACTCTAACGTAACCTCAGTAACCATATTCCTTAGTCCTGACAAAATAATTTCCAATTTGTTACCGTAATCAATATACCAATTCTAATAACTTTAACCTGGAGTTTGTCCCAGTAATCCTAACAATATATCTCAAGAATCCATCATCCGCCCCAATGCCTTCAACATCAAATTTGCTTCCGCCGCCCCAAGAATAACCTTCCGCCGCCCAAGTAACTATTCAGTATCCAATAAAAGTAAAGTAAAAAAGTTTGTATGTAGTAGTAATCCATTTATATTGTGTTGTTGTTTTAAATTTTGATCTACCTTAGTAGCCATCCCCTATCCCCCTACTACATGTTGTTGTGATTTGTAATTATGATTGTTTTGCCCATTATGACTTGTGATTTTGTTGTATGACTTATACCCGCTGCACATCCACCAGAAAAAGAAAAGAAAGAAAAAAAAGAGAAAAAATAAAAGAAAAACTGTCGCTACGCCAATGACTTGATTGTAAAGTATGCTTCGCCCAATGACTTGTGATTTTGACCTCATGTATTTGCCCATGCGGCTTTGATAGTTGACCCAATTTCCACCACTATATCCCACCAAGAAGAAAAGAAAAAAAAGAGAAAAGAGAAAAAGAGAAAAAAGAAAGATGATTATTTTTGTTGTTGTTGATTGATGTTTGAATTTTAAATTTTAATAATCCCCTATATGTCCTCCTACCATGACCGAAAAAAAAGAAAAGAAAAGAAGAAAATGAGATAAAAGAAAAAGAAGAAAGAGAAAGCCCCTTAAACAGGAGTAATTTTGAGTTTTATAAGTAGTGTTCCAATAATATATTGATTTGATTTGTATTGTTTGATTTTGAATTGATTTGTTGTGCCCACCCCGTACCCTACTACTTATTGTTGTTTTGATTGTTTTGATGTTGATTTTAAGTTGTTATTATTGTAATTAATTTCCACCATCCATTCATTCCTTTGGTCCACCGTCCTCAGCTGCCATATCCAATTACCAAAAGAAACCAAGAAAAAGAAGAGATGATGAAAATGATAAAGCAATAAATTGATTTGAGATAAAATTTCAAGAATAACAAGAGATATAAAGAAAATAGAGAAGAGAGAAATGAAAAATTTTGTAGCAGTAATCCATTTTGTTGATTTTAATTGTAATTTGACTAATTCTTCTTGCAATGTTATACATTGTACCCAACCCGTGCCCCCTGCTAATTTTGTTTAATTATGTGACCTATATAAAAATAAAAAAATGAAACTGAAAAATGAAAAATGAAAAAGAAAAAGAGAAAATCTGATAAGAAACCAAAATAAAATAATGAAACAGAGATTGAGAATTCTTTATACACCAAGTCCCAATATTTGCTACTAGTTGGTGATAGACATCCAAGGTTACTTGGATTTTATATATGCTGAATGCCCATTGATTCACCAACACCCCCTACAACAAATGATCCCCAATTCCAGAAGCCTCCTCCACATAATTTGGAGCATCCCAGGAATCCTCCTCCAACACCATATCTTTACATAATCCTTCCCTGTCCTTCCATACCACTGTTGTCCTCTTCTCGCCAAAGTCCAACTCCCGCTCCCATGATCCATCTTCCGGCTGACAAATTGTATATCTTGTCCAGATGCCCCTCTCATCCCTTAAGGTCATCCTTTCACCAATAGCCTTCCCAAACTCTAAACCAGCCCTGAAGTCCATTAAGAAAGGCCTTCCCAGTAAGATTGGACATTTGTCCTCCTTGGCAATCCAGAAGTGGGCCGTTCCTTGAACCTTTGTCCCTACTCCAACCTCTACTGCTTCCCCAATACCCACCAACTCTGTTCTTTGTCCTCAAATACCCCTAACCCCTGATTTAACTGGTATCATTGAGACCAGTCCAAGCTCCTGAGCCACTGATTCTGGCAAGATATTGATCTGGGAGCCAGAATCCACCAATGCCTTCACCCTTTTCCTCTTTCCACCAAGCATAATATCCAAGTACCCTAATGGACAAGAGTACAACACATCTTCATCATCACTTTCACTATCCTCCACCGACTCTTCTTCGTCCAATCCTCCCGCCGCAGCTCTCATTGGTTGGAGAATACGAGGCACCACCACCCTCCTCTTTGAGACTTGCTTCTTGATGTGCTCTGCCAGTGATGGCGAGATTGCACACAACTCTCCAACTTCAGCTTGGATCTGAGTCCTCATGATTTTCTCCACTACCTTATCCATGACACCTTCATGATGCCTTTCCACTGGCCTTTCAAACCTTCCCTTTAGAATCTCACTTCTATCAACCCTGGGAGCTAGAATTGTTGCCTTCTGCTTCCCCACCTCCTTGTCTATCAATCTTGCAAGTGGTTCATCATCACTTGAAACCTCTCCAACAATTTGCTCAAGCTCATCTACATCCATCCTACCTTCCTCCTCCTGTACTGTTGCCCTCTTCTTCCTTGCTGTTCCCACTGGTTCCACCTTTCCTCGTGTTCTCTTAACTTCCACATCATACACCTTGGTTCCTGCCCCGGCCATAGCTGTCTTGGTCTTGAGCCTGGAACTTGAAATAGAAGGCATCTTCCATTCCTCCAACACACCACAATTTGCTCTCAACTCTTGAAGTTGAGGATTTCCATCAGTTCCCTTGGTAAGAACCCCAGTCACCACCACCTTTTCTTGAACCACCGGAGCCACGGGAGGCGCTGGAGCTGCCTGGACCAGAGGTTGAGCTCCCACTGCCCGTGCAGCCGCAGAGTTGGCCGCCGCCTGCTTTGCCTGTTTGACCTGAAGTGAATGGTCTGCCACCACCGTCCTAATGGGTCAAGCACTATCCCACTTCACAACAGCACCATTAGACAGAATATAAGTGTTATTCTGCTCAGTGACATAACCATCATTGATGTCCCTCTGCTTGTCTGAACACCTGTTGTGACCATGTCCTTCCCGACCACAATAATAACACATCAACGGTGTAGAACTCCTACGCTGTGGAGCGTAGGCAGAGCCTCGAGGGGAAGAAACAACCCAAGGGGAATAAACCGCCCAGAGCCGTAACCAAAACGCCGTTAAGCTGCCCTCAAATTTTCAATGAGACACTTCTCGCCAACCTTTCTACCACCAAAATAAGCTTCCAACCTTGATTATCCAATCTACAAGCTTTAGTTCAGCTTTAAGAATCCCCGTAAAGGTCCTACGGTTCAAAAACAGATGTAAACAAGCTGTTTTTTACTACGTTCCCCAATGCAGTTCTCAAAAAAACTTTCCCGCAGCAAGTAAAAAAAATAATTAAACCTTGATTTTCCTCTAAAACCTTGTTCTTCAACTTCTACAGTTCCCGAAACTACCCTACACACCTTAATACCTTCAAAACCCAGTGAATTACACCTGTAACAGTGTAATTCTACCTTATTACCTTAGGACAAAACCCCTAAGGTAAGCTAAGTAAGAATAAAGAAAAATAAAAAAATAAGGACAGCACTATTTGGCGCCCGCTCGGATAATCCCTGAAGCCCGCTTTTCTCGGGGCTTTACCCGCCATTTCTGTACCAACCCGTGCCCCGCTCAGCCAAATTACACCGCAGCCGCAGTCAATCCGGGCTCTCACAAGCACAGCAGCCCCTTTATCACATACCGGGCTGCTGAATCACTGAGTCGGGCTGCTGGATCCTGAAATTGAGAGGTCAAACCGGGCATTCTTCTTCCATGTCAAATTCTTGCTGGGCATTTCATCTCAAAGTCGACAGACCACACCTACTGGACAACCCTCAAACCACTTGAACTCCCCAAATGGTAAGTGTTTTTCTTCTTTTTTCTTCTGCTCTGCTGATTTTCTTTCAAATCCCGACCATAGTCCGTCCCTTCTTAAATCCACCTTCATCACCTCTAGTCGTTCTTTACTTCTATCGTAAGCAGTCTCTCAAAGCAATCTCTGCTTTCAAGTCTATGAAGCAAGCAAAATATCAGATCCTGCTTACCCCGGATGAAATCAGTCAAGTGAAAGCAAGAGTATGTAATCTCTTTTTGATGATTTCACTCAATCGACTTCATTCACAGCTGACTTGTTCATTTATCTCAATCTCGTTGCATAGTTCCAAGCTTCGACTCTCTCCTTCGGTCAAACTCCTTCTCAAGAGAAATCTCAATGTCCAAATTTAAATTGTTTTTTAATCAAATTCACCTTTATTACTTTATTGTCCTTATCATTCAAACAATAGTAGAGAAACTCGAGGTTTGAAAATCTCAGTTGAAATTGTTGAATGTTTGAATTCAGATCCTAATCAGAGATAAGCCTATATGTCAAATCAACGCAAGAGTTGTTTGAGTATATGTAGTAAGGTAAGGATTCTTCAAGCATTGAATTTGCTCAAGTAACCCGTTGCCTGGGAAGTCCACCTGACCGTCTGACCCATGAAGTTGTCTCAGATTGGGTCCACAGGCTCTGTTAATCCTTGTGAACAATGCTGATGGCTTTGAATTTACTGCTGGGTTAAGCAAA